ATTATTCTTATTATATTTCATTTTTTTTTTATAAAAGTCCTTTTGGAAGCTGTTCAGTTTTATATTCATATAATTGTATGTATGTATATATAAATTTTGTTTATATATTAATTGTTTTTTTTTAACTAGTCTATAATTTAAGTGATATAGTTTTACTTTTTAATATTTGTATAAAAAAAATGTTTAAAGTATCAGATACCTAGACTTTATTTGATGAATAAATAAAAACAAATTATAGTTTATTTTTTATTTTATGTATGTGTAAGTAAGTTTGGTATGTACACGACTTCCTCTCATATAATATAATATTCGTGTTGTTCTAATTATTTTATACTGTAATAAGTATCTATCCAGAGTATGCAATGTAAATAAAAAAATAAATAATGTATGTAAATATATATGCACAAATGAATTATTTATATATCTATTATATGAGATTTGCAAAGAAATTATAACGTATAGTGCAATACATAAAATTAAGAGTAACAGAATTTTTATTTATTATGAAAATCTTTATAATCTACATAACAATTTCGTACATCAATGAAAATATAATATGTTATTTCCATATACACAATTGTATGTGTACAGTGTAGATTTGTGTGTTGATATGTTTAAATAGAAATTTAATATACATGTTAATACATACATGATTAACTTTAAAAGTAGGCTGTTAATTGCTTTCCTTTTTAATTATATAAGAACTATTTTATTTAAGTATATAATTTTATTTATGTACTTTATAAATCCTTTATGACAATTTAATATGTTTACATTAAAATTCCTTTAAAATTTTGTTTGTATTGAACGAAGAAGAAAATTAAATGATTATATTTTAAATTATTAAGTATTTAATAAATTTATAAGTTAATAATGAATATGCTAATTAATTGCTTTATATATTTTATTATATAAAGCAATTAATTAGATCATTAATTATTATAGATAATGAATTTAATCCAAATAATATTTTATATTTTGAACAGAATTATAATCCAGTTTTTTTTTTTTTTTGAAATTGCAGTGAAAAGTTCATAAGCTTCAGATTATATTACTGCTGCCATAATTGAGGAATTAGTAATTGTAAGGTGAATTTAATAATAATACATAATTTTACTCCGTATTTAAATAGTTCAGTATTATTCATTTGTGTACATGTAGTGATTTTCAAAAGGATTATTACGGTAGGTTCAAATGGAATGTATGTAATTATTTTAAGAGAAGAATATCTAAGCAAAATTTGCCAAAATTCAATTTAACTTTTGAAATTTCAAAGAGGTATTGTAAAATTTTTCTTTATTTCAAATGAGGTCAATTATTAGCGAAAATAAGTCCACAATTAAAGCATAAAATGTACAATGATTCTGTTGACATTCATAAAAATTTCAAATTCCATATAATGAATAATTATTTTTTATAACAATAATTAATATAATGAATTAATATAATAAAAATTATTATTTTTGTATAACAATATAGTTGACAAGTAAAAAAATTTAAGAATTTAAACGGAAAATAAATTATGGTGACAGAAAAATATAACAAATGTGTTTTTTTATTTTATTTATTTGTAAAATTACTTGTATAACAGTTAATTGAATGGAAAATTATTATTTTTGTATAACAGTTAATAAAATAACTATCAACTTATATTTGTTTTCTTTCCCCTAATAAAAAATATAATATATGATTTTCTTTGAGCATCAAACCAATTATGTATTTCTATACAATCGCATACACACAACAAAATATATTTTTCCCTGTTGTACAAGTGACTATTTTTTTTATAAATTTCCTATACTATAAAAATGAAGCTTTTCATTCATAGCTTCTTCAATTATATTTACAACTTATACAGAAAATTATTTTTTTCATAGTATTAGTGTTTATTAAGAAAAAAAAAAATAATAAAAAAATTTCAATGTTATATCGGATTCAATTTTAATTTTTTTTTTCTTTTTGGAAAAAGCAACTATAAACCTTAACCTCTCTTTACCGTGAAAATTGCACAATATATACATTATAGTATACATAACTGATAAAAAAAGCAAAAAACAAAAAAAAAAGCAGAAAGAGGAAGAAATAGGAAAAGTTACAGCTTTTAAACATCTGGCTAGGCAACAAAACAACAACCTGTCTGAGTATTTACCATCTGATTTTATCTTTTCTTCTTATTCTTTTATTTTTTTTTTTTGTTTTAACATTGAAAAGAAGTTGTGGGTGGTAAATTTAATATGAATCTGTTATATTATATAGAAATTTATACATTTAAATTATTACACACAAAAAAAAAATTTTATGTGTATGTGTTTGTGTATGTTTATTTGAAAAACAAAAAAATAGTACTTACTTATAAGATGAAAGAATAAAAAAAAAAAAAAACAAAAATGTTATTAAATCAGTGACAGTGGAATTAAAATATAATATGTATAACAATATAATTTAATACATATATATGTTTGTTATGTATACAAACATTGTATTTGTAGGTAAATATTATATGCATACTTTTAAAACATAACAAAAAGAAAATTGTAGAAGAAAAGTGTTAGAAAAAAAAACTCTTATTACGTCCTTTTCTATATAAGCGGCACATATACGAATTTATAATGTATATATATATGTACATATTATATATACATGTATAATTTACAAAACAATTTCATTCTATAGTTATTATATGATATGAAATTTTATATAGTTAATATGTTATTATTTTGATATACATACACATAATTATTTAGATATAAAAAGTGCTTAAAGTATGTATTTTTGAGTTCTAAATTTCATTTTAATATTTGTGATTCATGTATGCATATATACATAATAAATATATTAAAATATGTATATTAATAATTTAATTTAGTAATAAAACAAATTTTTCAAGAAAAAAAAAATTTGAAAGATTTTTCAAAAATTAAAATATCCCTAAAAGTATGCAAATTTATTTTAAATTCTGATGACTGTTTACATAACAAACTGAAATTATATTATTCGACTCAGATTTATGAAAATTATATCTGGAAATGAAAACGAAAATGAAAATCAGTTGTTCGCCTTACAAAATTTATACAAAAAATTGATTGTCGCCATTTTACTTTAGAAAGAATTTTATAGTACATTTGATGAGAATAGAATGATTTCTTTTATTTGGTATCAGACAAAATCTGATGTTAAACACTGTCTAAACATACAACTTTCATTAGACTCATAATAAATTTTAGATTTTATCGAATATATGAACAATATTTAAAATATTAACTATGACGTTCTATAGCTGGCAAAATTTTAATTGCAAATTTTGTTATTATAAATAGGGCAGTAGCCAATATAATAAAACCGGATTTTTTGATATTTTTCTTATAAAATACCATGAATTCTTATAAATGTGCTCTATATTGCAGTATTATGGTTTTCTTATTCTCAAAGTATTAATAATACAAATTATACTGTGACATGATCCTAAAGTAAACAGTGTTAAATTTATGTTTTCCATATATATATATATATATATACATATATAGTGGATAGGTTCATGGATTTGTGACTGATTTTTATACTGTTGTTGTCCTCTTATAATTTTTGTTAGTGTTTTTTTTTTTCTGTTGTCTTATTATTTTTTCTTATTATTTTGTAATACATTTGTTGCTTTAAATATTAAAAATATTTATTATGTATACGTATATATGTATATATACTTTGTTTTTGATGCTCTTTTTGAAGGTTTTCTTCTTATTTAGGTGCAAAAAAAATACTCTTTCTTTTTTTGTTGTTGTTTATTCTTGTTGTTGTTGTTCTTATTTCTTGGTGTTGCTTACTGTTTTTGGTTTTTTTTTATGTACTTGTTAAGGACGATAACAATTTTTCAATTTAGTTAAAATTTTCTCTCGCATTCGATTGCGAATATTACTCTTGCTAGCATCTTTCAATTGTTCAGTTGTTATGTATGCACGTTTTATTAAAATCGTTGATTATTTTATTATTATTATTACGTTTTTTTTTTGATAACAATTAATATATAAATTTAAATAAGTTAATACCTTATATAATAATTTATTATAAAATAATAAAAGAATAGAAAAATCACAAAAATTTGTATTAAAAAAATTAGAAGAGAAACCAAGAAAAAAGGAAAAGTAAAAAAAAGAATTGGAAGTGAAAATTCAAGGATTTGATGAAGGAAATAATTAATTTAACCTTAAAATTTGTTACTTAGCATTTTTATTTTTTTAAAGAGAATAATTGTTATATAAAGTAAGAAGATATTTGTAAAAATTAAAATTTAAATTTCGAAAATAAATATTTTTTATTTTTTTAATCTTTAAAAATGCCTAATTTTTAAGTTCTTTAAAAATAAAATAAAAAACTAAATTTAATAATTAATAAAAAAATTGCTTAAGGATTAATTTGTAGAAGTATTAAATGAAAATTTTTAACTGGTCTTATTTATTAATTTGATGGTAGTTATATATTTAAAAATAGCGGCTTTGGAATACTTATATCTTAAAATATATTAAAATATTAAAAAGTGTAGTGACTCTTATAATTTAAAAATAATTACTGTGGTAATAATTTCCAAATTTAATTTAAAATAAAGAGTATAATGAATAATCTTAAATAAATTTAAATTAATACAATTAACTTATATATATATATATATATATGATTAATAAAATAATTAATATAATTTTAATTAATACATTATTTTAGTAAATAAGAATATTACAATTAAAATTATTATTTGAAGTGCAATAGAGTTAATTTGCAGTTTTTTTTTTTGCTTATTTTTAAATCTCGTTATATAATTTAGAATTTTAAAATAAATTAAAAAAGTACATATTAATGCATATGACGATAAATTCATATATATATACATATATATTAAACTCTGTTCATATATAATGTAAATATATTGCAAAAATTTACATTCAAATAGATTTATTTACAAAATCATATATAATAATATGTAATTTGTATGTATGCAAAATTTAAAATTATTTTATGCAATATAAAATAGAAATTATAAAACAAAAAAAAAAAAAAGAAAAACAAAACAAAATTTTAAATTTCATGCAATTATAATGTGCGCAAGCTCAACTTTTTAACTACGAAACAAACAAAAACAAAAACAACAAAAGAAAAAAAAAAGGAATTTTTCCGGACCCGATCAAAAATAGTTATCTCAATTTGTATATGTATGTATATGCATAATTGATATACATACTTTTAGATGTTCTATATAAATGTAAAATATGTAATTCAATGTATATACACACACATATACATTTATGCTTTTTTTCTTTTGTTTTTGTTTAAATTTTCTCGTTTTTTCTCTATATGTACATATATTTTTAGAAAATTAAATATTTCCTAAAGAATCAGAAAGGATGCATTCGCAATTGAAAAAATGATATCGCGTCGCCTAAATATATGCAATATTATTTGCAATTTGTAATTTTTATTTTATTTATTTTTTCTTTCGATTTTAATTTTTGGTTTTTTTTTTAAAGAAATTTTGTGCAAATTCTGTGCAAATTATAAATTTATTTTATAAAATTAATTAACCGGTTAACAAAAAAATTATATATATATATATATATATATATATATATATTTATAATACATCTTAAATTTTATTTAAATGATGAGAAAATAATATTTAATTTTCAAAAATGTTAAACTTAAAAATTTTATAGTGATGCATAAGATTTAAAGATTTATTCAAAATTTATAATTAATTATTATTACAAGTGGTGGTAAGTTTAATTTAAAGTGATTCTTCTTTTTTTTTTAATATAAAACTATAAAAATATTTTTAAAAATTTTGGAAGTGAAGTGCAATGAAAACTTTTATTGAAATTCATTTTTCATTTATACAAAATTATTTGAAAGTAATTTAAAATAACTTTTAAAATTTTTATTTAAAAATTATTTAATGAGAGGAAATTTCATATGGATTATCTTTTCTCTGTTTTAAACTTAAATATAATATAATGGAAAACAAAACAAAAGTGAATTGCAGTGAGTTTAATGATCGTTTATTTAATAATTAATTGAACAAAATTTTAATATAGAATTTGAGAAAAGTTTAAGGACTTTAGAAACGAAAGGAATATTTCTATTATAAAAGTAAAATTTATAAAATAAAAATTGAAATGATTTGGACTGAAACAAAAATTTTTTTTAGAATGTATAAAATAATTAATTACCTAACTAATTAAAGTAAGATTTCAATAAAATTAAGTAAAGTTATTAATGATAAAATGTCGAATATAAATTTTACAATGTCATGAATTTTTAATTGAAATAAATAACCTTAGTAAAGATTTTTCAACCTCAGAAATAAATTAACCAAAATTAAAATAAATGGTGAGATTTTAATTAAATTTTATTTATTTTTATTTTAATTTGTAATTTTAAAAATTTTGCGTATTAATTTCAAATTAGAATTTTTTTTATCAGTAAATGTAATTTTATAAACTGATGAAAAAATTAAAACTGTTATACAAAAACTGTTATACAAAAAACTGTTATATTTAAAATATTTTTCATATTTAATTATATAATTATTTTATAATTTTTAAAAAAATTTATCATGTTTATCAATTTTATAGAGGTAGTGATCAGTTTTGTTAATTATACTAGATTAAACAAATTTTATTAGAATACATACAAAACAAATATTTTTGGTCATAAAATAATTAGAATATTTTGCGATATTTGAGTTCTATTTGAAGGTATATAAAACAATTTAAATGGATATCACTTGCCAACTACACTAGCCTTGAAAAAGTTGATTTATTTAAAGAAGTAATTATAATCTCCTAGATGGTTTTATATTTTTATATATAAAGTATTGTACTCCTAAGATAGTAGAATAGAGCATAATGTACTTCTTATATAGCAAAATATACATACAAATAAGCGTTTCATTTACAGGTTATTCTGACCTATTCCGAGGTAGTTATAATTTCCAATAATATATGTATAAAAATACAATACAGGGCAATCCGGAATTAACAACAAATTTTGCATATCGAGTTTTCGGTGGGAATGCACTTCTCCATAGCAGAGAAGTGTAAGTAAACTATTTTTAGCAACCTGTCGGTCTGTCGATCTGTGTGTAAACGTGTGTATCTCAAGTATCAGGCCTCGGGAACTGCACTTTTTAGTTTTACATTTACATTGACCATTTTGATGAAAATATTCTACCGATTTACTTGAAATTTCATATATATGCCTTGCTCGACCGTCCGCAAAACTTCCTAACTTTTGGAAGAAATCAGGTATTAGCAACTGGACGCTTAGTACGGGCCGAATATACATTTTTGCGTATATAAAGAGAAATAAACAACCGATTTCATTAAAGTTTAGTGTTTAAATTTTTCGTATTAAAACAATGAACATATAATTTTTTGGAAAGATCAGGTCTCGAAAACTGATTTGCGGGCTGATTTTAAATTTTTTACCATATTTACGGAACGGATTGATGGAATTTCTTGAAATTTGATATTTGAGTTCTGGTTATTACCGAAACTAACTGGCGAGCATTTCAGGGAATTCAGGTAGCACAAAGCGAAACTGTACTAAGAGCCAAATTTACATTTTTCTAGGTATGTTAACTATAAGCTTACTGATGTCCTAAAAATTGGAAAGAAGTATTTAACAGTCATTTTTATAATATTCCGTAACACTTTCACTTAACTAGGCAATACACATTGTGGTTGGTTATGTGTTGACCACATCAGATTTTTGCGTTTTTTTATTGTTTTATTTTATTACAAATCAGTATTGTAAATAATTATTTCACGGAAAATTACTAAACTCTATATTAATAAAATAAAATACAAATTATAATCGCCCACATTTTCTACTTCATTATATTTTAAGATTAAGCATACAATTTAGTATTTAAATTTACAATTAAATAAATCAAATCGTTCATAATATCATATACATATATAATATCTTGTACGTACGTATAAACATATATTATATACGTATACATAAAGGTATATCGACAAAATATAAAAATAACAGTATATTTTATGAATTCAAACCATTTCCAATACCTTTCATGTATGTACAAGTGTAATATAAATGTATAAACTTTTGTAATAGTACAAAGAGAACCTGTATAGAAAAAGAAGGAATGAAATTTCTGAAATTAAAATTGAAGCTGAATTGAATTATCAATTCTTTTTTTTCAGGCCTTGCTCCCAGCCCCTAAACACGTTAAATAAAAATGATAAGATATCTGAATTGAACAAAAAAAAAAAACAAAATTAAAGAAAAATAAATATTTTTTTAATTGAAATGTAAAAGAAGAAGAAAAGAAAAATAAAGCGAACAGAAGAAGAAAAGAAAAACGAAAGGAATTTACATAAAAGTAATGAAAACTCTTGAAAAATGGTGGGTATAATGGAAAGCAAGAACGTGAGAAAAGAATAGAAATTAAAAAAAAAATATAACATTTTTTATTTTTCTATATGTTGGATCCAAGGGTATCCAAGAATATGTTGGATAGGTCTATTTAAAAAAGTTTTATATGTTTTTTAGCACTTAGTCTAAGTATTTCTGTTGACATGTTTTCCAATTATGTTTTCGAGGTGAAAAAAGTTAGATTTTCTTTAACTTTTCTTCATTTCTTACTATAAAATCTATATCGTGTTTAGTACTCAAACTAATTGTTTCCAAAGTTGATAATTTTTAATACTTAAAATTTTAATCCCTAAAATTTCTGAAATAATAATACTGAAATTTTAATTCAATCTGATCAGTAACTTATATTAAATTATAGTTTATTTTCAAAACTTCCTCCCGTCCCTGCCTCCTTTTCTGTTCGCTCTGAACAAAAATTTTTCGTATTACATAATATTTTTAAATAAAATCGTAACCAGAATTTTGCGAAATTTTATATTTTCTATGTAAACTACGCTTTTACAATAAAGAAAATTATTAAGAAAAATTTCAAACCACCATACCCACATACATATACATATATACTTTGTAATTAATAAAAATTAAAAATATGAAGAGTGAAATATTAAAATAAGAAAAATAATTTTTCTTTGAACTGTAAATTCTCATTTAGCAATTTTTTGCTAATTTTCATAAAAAAAAAAATGAAAAAGAAAACTAATAAAGAAAACAGTTAGTGAATGGAAATGGAAGACAAACATTTAGTAACACACATGTGTAAATGTGTGTGTATTTGTTCGGGTAAATTTATACATAAGTAGAGTATGTACATATGTACGGTATATCTTAACTATAGAACTGTTCAATTGAAATATTAAAATTTTAAATGGTTAATGAGATTTTTATTCTCATTAAAAGAGACTGAGAGGTTCATAATTAGTTTCATTTGATTGTGTGTACTTTAATATTTTTTTTTTTTGTGAAAATATTTTTAACACAATATAGGTATACATATATATAACGATATTTTAAATTCTTAATAAAAACATTTAATTTTCAATTTTTAAAAGTTTATTAAACTGGAAATTATTTTTTTTAAAAAATATATTGATCTTATAAAACTCATATATCCATATAATTTGTTCGTTACCATTTGCGTTAAATTTGCGTTCACCGTCTGTCTTTCTTACCGTTTGTATGATTGAATCTTCATTTTAATTTTATATTAAAAAATAATCTATACTTATTACTCTCATATCCTTGTTTATTACTCTCGTATTATAGCATAGTTTTGTACACAGCTTTATGTATATATATATAGCATAATTTACGGTATAAATTTAAATTAAAATTTAAATGGAAAAAACGTAAAACTAATTATTCTTTTGCTCCTGATTTATAATTCATTCATTATTTCTTAAATTAAAATTAAAATCTTAAATTTGTAGAGGGCACATAAACTTTCTATAAAATGAGTATGTAGATTCACCATTGTATTTGAACTTCGAATTTTTCTACAGCTATATCAATTTCATAAATTCATGTAAATTTAATTAATTGTATATAAGATTTTCCAAATTTGCATTTAAATATAAAAATTAATTTAAATTTGTATTAAGTACTTCAGCTAGCTTCTTCTTAAGTAATTCCCAAAATGCTTCCTATAAAATCATATTTCATGACAGCAATTTTTAGTAATAAAATTTAAGATAATGATATTTTACAAAAGAAAATATACTTTTATTTTATTGAAAATCTTCGAAATTACAGGTAAAATAAGCAATAAAAAAAAATTTAAGTACACTTGAATTAGAATAGAATTTTTATTACAATTTTATTATACAAACAACATTAGTAATACTTTTTGTAGATTTTTTTTTAATTTCTGTAATTAAATTATTTTGGATTTTTCTTTTAAAGAAAACGAAAATTTGACATGAATTTCTATCTCTATTGAAATATGAACAATTCGCTCGACGAGATCCTTATTTAATATAAGCTCATAAAAATATATAAAATATTCATTTTAA